CAAAGTCAGCGGTTTCCAGGTATTAGAAATTCACAAGTTTTTAAAACATAACCTTAAAAATCGGGTGAAATATTAAAAAATGCATTAAAAAACTTCACGACAAAAATTGGCTTTTTTTATTAAAAAAAAAAACAATAAAAAAACTTTAATGTCAAAATTGCCCTGCTTGCTTAAAAAAATGATACAGTACCTTAAAATAGATGAAAATAGAGGTAAAAAAAATTGGTCTAAAGAGTTTAGACAGTACTTCCCTCGCTGTCGGAAACTTGACGACTGCATGCCTATTGTGTTTTTTTTTCTCATTACATTTTTGTAGTGGGAATTTAAAAAAAAATTGTGATGACGTCATCAACATTTTTGCAAGGACACGTATATCAGTTGGGATAGATGTAGTGTAATACTAAGAATAAAATTATTGTATTCCCAAATTTTCGGGAAAATGAATTGGGTCGTTTTGAATATTGATTTCTTATAATCAATAAAATAACGAAACAATTTACTCACGTATACGGCGCCGGTGTGTAATATCTAGAGAGCGGATTTCTGTCGGGCTAGGCAAGGCCAAACTCGGTACGGCTCGTACGGGATGCGAATTCATTGCGGTTGCGGACTGCACTTCGTTTATTTGAGATTAGAATAACGCTGTTTCGTTGCACTCTGCTGTTAATTCCCGTTCTCATTTACTTAGCCGTTTGATTAATAAATCGTTAATTATATTTATGGAATTAGTACTGATTAAATTCAGTGATTATCTATCACCCGCTACTGAGTCCCGGCGATCCAGCGCGTCCCCACCTATAATCGTGACGTAGCCCGACAAAAATCCGCTGTCTAGTAATATGAAAGGCAACTGAAAATCGTTTATGTATAAACATTCTTAATTTAAGATGATAAGCGTAACAGCATACGTGAGAGTCAAACAGAGAAACTGTAAACAAAACGACCATCGGTTTTATTGCTTCGACTTCCGCTTATTATATGAAACATTGGGTTTTATTTTAATTCTTGACGGTGAAATTCACAATTGGTTGATTATAAACATGTCTATTTCACATTCGCGGAACCAAGTAAGCGCATAAAACAAATGCAGGTCTGTAATGTTAAAGTCGATGTAAATAAGCGTACTACCCTTATGTTTCAACCGAGTTTTTCCTTTAACAAATTTTGTGTCTACCAAATTGGGTTGGTTGGGGTGTAATACTAATAATAAGTGTTGCCTTTAATTTAATCAATAAAATAAATTGACTTCATTAATTTTTTTGAACCACCTCTTAAGAAAATCTAAAAAATATGAATGGAATGATAAATCACAAGTACAAACTCATCATATTTTTTGCATTTTAGATAGGATTTATTCAGCAAAATTTAAGGGTGACGTCATCAATTTTTTTAGGAGGGATGAACAAATACATTTTGAACAAAAGTTTACCATGCTTATAATAACTTTAAAATATTCCCAAGATTTCAAAGCATTCGGTATTGTAATTCCTGATTAAATCGATAAAATAAATTCACGCCTTCATTAATTTTTTTGAGTCACCCTGCATATGCAAATCCAAAAATAGGAATGGAATGATAAATCACAAGTACAGACTCATCATATTTTGTACATTTTAGATACGATTTATTCGGCAAACTTTCGAGCTGACGTCATCAATTTTTTGGAGGGGATAAGCAAATATATTTTGACTAAACATTTATTATGCTCTTTATAACCTTAAAACATCTGCAAGATTTCAAAGCATTCGGTTTTGTAGTTTCTGAGTAAATCAGTAAAATAAATTTACGCATTCATTAATTTTTTTGAGTCACCCTGTATATGCAAATCCAAAAAATATGAATGGAGTGATAGATCACAAGTACAGACTCATCATATTTTGTACATTTTAGATATGATTTATTCCACAAACTTTTGAGCTGACGTCATCAAGTTTTTGGAGGGGATAAGCAAATATTTTTTGACTAAAGATTTATGATGCTCTTTATAGCCTTAAAACATCTACAACATTTCAAAGCATTCTGGTTAGCAGATTAAAAATTAAATTTCAAAATGTTGTTTTATAATTTTGATTTTTTTTCCAAAAATCTGGACATTTCGGGTGAAAAGTCGATTCGGAGTTGTAAACTACATGTGTAGGACTATGTTATTTTATACAATTGAAAACCCATTTACTACGTACAATTTTGAAGTGACGTCATCGCATTAGTGGTGGGGATGATTAGACAAATTTTGGTTAACGTTTTACCATCTACATGATATTCTTAATATAAGTACAAAATTTCACAACAATCGGTCGAGTACTTTCGGAGATTATCTGTCTAATAAAAATCCGGGACGGCAGACGGACAGACGGACAGACGGACGGACAGACGGACAGACGGACAGACGGACAGACGGACAGACGGACAGACAGACGGACAGACAGACGGAAATGGGAGACCTATTTCTTCGTCTTCTAGGGGTCATGAAAGATCGAGAAAACGTAAAAGTAGAGAGTCGGCCGACGGACTCGATTACAATACTTCCTTTGCTTACGCTCGGGAAGTAAAAATAACTTAAATCGATAAATAAAATGTGGGGTGAAACATTTTACTTTCTACTGATTTCAATTTAAAAATTTCATCTAAAACGTTCGATAATCCAATCTTTAAACCAGAGTCATTCAGATGAAATATATATTAAAGAACATTTATTCGGCAAAATTCTAAAATGATGTCATTATTGTTTTAGAGGGATAAAAACGAAAAAAATTTGATTCACAATTTACCAGGGATATGATACGATAACCTTAAAACGTTTGCAAAATTTCAGCGCATTCGGTTTTCAGAAGTTAAATTGCAAGATGTTGCAACTTTGATTTTTTCTCAAAAAATCTGGATGTCTAGGATAAAAACTTAACAGGGGTTCATAAACCACATATGGAGGAGTATCTTATTTTATGAATTTTAAATTATATTTACTATTGTAAATTTTGGAGAGGACGTCAACAAATTGTTGGTAGGGATGATTAACCAAATTTTGATTAGCATTTCACCGTCTACACGATAATCGTAATCCACATATAAAATTTGACAACTGGTTCAGTAAGATTCTGCCTGAATCACTAATTTTCCACTCATTCGACGTATTTTGAATTATTTTATGGCAAATTTTGATTTTTTCAGACATTATTATTTAAATAAATTGTACTACTAACAATTAATTACTTAATACGACAGGAAGTACAGGAACCTTTAAAATACGTTACGTTGTCCGTGTGAGGATTTTCAAGTGATTCTATGATATTTAATACATAAAAAAAGGAAAATACAGAAGACAATGGTGTTTTTTTACGATACGTTTCTGGTACTTTTTTTTGTTGGTTAAACTGTTTTCAAGGGCTTAGAATATGATTAAATATCTGCAGTTTGATGCATAATACAGAATTCTAAATCCACAGTCCTGGTAAACTAATGGTGCAGTTTTGGTTGCAGCCGTTGTGGCTCAAGAATCGACGTCTTACATCTAGGAAAAACTCTGGTCTGACTAGTTGTGGTTATTCTTCAAATAATGATAAATAAATGTAGGATGACGTATCCATTTTAACAGTATGTCTATGTCATCGGTGTTAATTTGCTATTTACAGACTGCAATACTTGTAATTGCAAATTATATTCAGAATTTTTTTTATATAAAATGTTATTATTGTTCACTGAGAAGATAAGATTTAAGAATAAAATCACACATATAGTGATTGGTTATATGAGAAGCCTAACTGAGTTTAACTGGTTGCATACTATTTAAACTTTGACCACAGTATACATATCAATCAGTAGAGACAACTCGCAATTTTTACTGACCCGTTTTCATGGGTGGTCGTTTGTCTTGTGACCGTATGAGGGCGCGCAACGCAAGGTACGTCACTTTCTTACACATTGGGACATTGAACTGCGGTACTTTGGTTATCTAGTGACTTTAATGTGAAATATTTGAAATTTGGCAGTTTAGTTGCATTGGTTTTGATGGTTTAAGGTTGATCTTCCTGTGTAATTTACAGTTAAGTGTAATTTTCACAGAGACATTTTAAAAAGCGTTCTTCACGTTTTCATAGGACCATTGTTTACTGTTTAATTTTTTTTGTAAATAATTAAATGTACATATATTAGCGTTTTCTAATAACGTTGAATTTTACAACCATTTACAGCCATCATGAAAAAGAAATTAATGAAATGTAAAATCATAATCAGAGAAGCGGGCCACATCTAAATTTCAACACGGCATCTTTGTTATAGGGGGCTTAATTAATTATTTATTATAATAGACTGTGTGGTTTCTAAGATCAACTAGTTACAAAATGTTATTGTTATTACACTATTTTTAAGTCTTTTCCAAAAATTCATTTGCATAAAGTGTAGTAAATTGTGTACACGAATCGATTTTAAAATGAAGCGTTTGTGATCCTTTTTAAATTGGGTGCCGACATCTAGAAATATTTTGGGCAACGACCACCGATGACGGCTTAAAAATCGAGTCAGAAAGATCAAAGGCGCCGACACGAGTTGTCCCTACTGATTGATGTCTACCTATACTGTGCTTTGACACAGACCCTTAATAATAAAAATCACATAAAACACTTCCTCGTAAAAATTTCAAAAAATATGGAAATCCGCTTCTGTGTTATTTGCTCTAAAGTGACTTGAAAGTTAAACGTTAGGTAAATGAAAATGCATTATGTATATAAATAATCTTTTCATTTTATTGCCATACAAATTTTTTCTTCTCCCTAATACATATATAGTTCTCAAATAAAAATTTAACAAAGCACTGATGGTGTAACCGGTAGTAATTGACAATATTTTGTAATCCGAACCTGCAACGTTAATAAATCTTCTAGACACTGACTGAAATGTTTCTGAACTTGACCATTTTAAGTTGAAATAAGTAAGTATATCGAGTTTTTAAATTCTAGTTTTAGATTTCTTAGAACCGAAAACCCTCCAGCTTATTTAATTTGTTGTAGTTCTAGACCTCGAACTTCCACCGGCCGTCCAATTTCAGGAGTTGCCCGCCCAGGTACCCAAATGCGCCCCGGCTCCGCCCTCGATCGCCTAAAGACCGCCCGCCCCATCACCGGCCAATCAGCTCGCGCCATCCGCTTAGGCACCGCCGCTATGTACTCCCACAAGGAGGGTCCCTTCATCCAAGTATCCCGCCTCAACATCGCCAAGTACGCCAAAAACCAAAACCTCAACAAACCCCTCTTCGAGTACCTATTCTACCACGAAGGCGACGTTCGCAACGCCATGGAGCTCGCAGTGCAAGCCACGCAATCCTGCGATTTTCAAGATTGGTGGTGGAAGGTTCAACTATCTAAATGTTACATAGTTTTGAATTTGATTAGAGATGCCGAACAACAAATGCGAAGTGCTCTAAAACAACACTACCACGTCGAGACTTTCATCAGGCTGACTAGAATTTACCTGCGATTGGGTAACTAAAGTGTTAATTTATAAAGGTTAATTGAGTGAAGCGCAAAAATTGTAGACCAACCTCTTTCCGCCGTGGAAATATGCAGAGCCGGTCTTGAGATTTTTCCCAATGATGTTTCAATCATGACTGAACTGGCAAGGCTTTATGAAACCTTAAACGAGACGACGTCTTCGGTTAGGTATTACAGGAGCATTGTGATCGAAGATGCGATGAATACTGAGGCGATTGCGTGTATAGGAATGTATCACTTTTACAATAATCAACCAGAATTGGCATTACGATATTACAGGTCTGTATAAAATCATTTCATACATACAACACAAAAGGTCATTACCATTTGAATTTTTTTCATATAGACAGTTTTCTGTCTAAACTTACCCAATGTTCTTTTCAGTTACAAGACAAAGAGAAAGATTTCAGGTAAAAACTAGGTCAGAAACTTTTACATCTTCTACCAGAATTCTTTGTCGAAAATTTTGCTCATTCTGAAATCTTTACCCTTTGTTCACTGCCCGAGCTGTATTTCAAAAGCATTTCAAAAACAAAATGGTGGAACGCATTCCTAAGTACCTACAAAATAGTGAAAAATAGTAAAAACATTTAAAATGTTACAGAAATCGAAGTACTCGAATAAACCGCTTATCTATTTTTTATTATTGCTTGGAGAGTGACATAAAGTCCATAATTAAATACGACATCAAAAATTGTACTTAATTGTAATTTTTTTCATTATGTAAATTAAAAATTCCAATACAAAATGGTCTTTGCACCCATATTAAAATCACTGTACAATTTCTGATTGAACGGGAATTTTACGACTACACGCACTATAGACATGGGACAAAGTACTATGTGCATTCTGTCATTATACAAATGAAACAATAATTCAAAATATCAAAGGAACAAAAACATATCGTCTAACTTGATTTACTCCACCATATCACGTCGAATTGTTCGTAATGAGGATTACAGAATGATTAAAACTCAGAATTTAATCAACTAGCTTCGGTACGTTTAGCTTCCATAGTTTATGCAGTACTTTGGTAGGTACTTATTTGACCACGACTGGTTTCTTGTAGCTATAGATGGAGTATTGATGAGACGTAGTTGGTTGATAACATTGTTGCTAGGCGAGCACCTGTTTTTGAAGTGCGCGTTGTCTATGCCTTTTTTGTGTAAGTATACGTTGATACGCGTATTTCTTGAAACTGACAGCGGAGCTGCTTTTCTTTATTTGTAGGTGGTGCGCATTTAAACTGTTTTTGGGATATTACAATGTGCTTTTACTGTCAGTAATTTAATTCAGTTTTAGGAGAATCATACATTTATATTGCTAATCTCAAGTAATTCAACTTTATTGGTTGTTATAAGTATTTCGAGAAGTTTGAACAGCTGCAAATTTGTAAAAATTGTTTTGTGGACGAAAACAGTGTCTTTGTCTTTTTCACATTTGACGTGATGCGATTGATCCAGAAAATTAATTAATTATAATTCAAAAGTTCCTTTTCAGGAGAAACATAAAATAGTGATTACGTGAGTTACGCGTAACCAAGCCATCGTGAGACGTTTTGTACTTTACAAAGATCTTGGAGAAAACATTCGAATAGATTTCGTACATTTTGCTAGTGAAGAAATTAAAACTGTACAATACATTTATCATCCGTATTAATAATTGGATGAAGCTGTCCCAAAATTTCATAAAATAACATACTTCTATACGCGTAGTTTATGGGTTCGCCTTTACGTTTTACTCTTGACATCCAAAAAATAAAAAATGTATAACAACGTTATAAAATACTACAAAAAAATGCGACTAAAAGAAAGGACTCAAAAAAGGTGGCAAAAACAGGTCACAAGAAATGAGAACAAAAAAAAAAACGACAAAAAAAGTCTTTAAAAAAATGCAACAAAAGCAGAGAACAAAAAATAATATAGAAAAAGGCGACTTCAAACAGTAACAGAAAAACAGAAAAATGACAAAAAAGGCGAATACCAGAGAAAAAAAAAATAAAAAGGGCCTAAAAAAGACAAAGAAATGACAAAAAAGAAAATAATAAACGGATAAAAGTTCACAAAAAAGGTGGTAACAAATGCGAAAACAAAAGACCTAAAAAAATAAAATAAAATCCGCAGAAAGAGCCACAATAAAAACTCATTAGGAACAGGGAGCACAAAATGTGACAAAAGACTGCGAAAGAATCAAAAAGGAGAAAAAACTATAAAAAGTCCAAAAAGAAAATAAGAAAAAAAAAAAGGATGAGAATCAGAAGATCACTATAAAAATTGAACAAAAAGGGGTTCAAAAAGCAACAAAAAACCTACAAAAAGTGACAGAAAACGGCAAAATATCCAATACAGAAAGAAATTCAAAGAGTGACAAAAAAAGAAGACGGCTACAAAAACGGCTAAAATTACGAAAAAAGGTAAACAAAAATAGAGAACTATTCATAAAAAGTGACAAAAATGCTAAAACAGACAATTAACAAAAATCACAAAAATGCGAAAAAAGAATAATAAAGGTGAGAAAAATACAATCTATAAAAAAATGAGAAGGCCAGTACAATAGGTGAATAAAAAAAGGGGTCCAAAAACGCGACAGCAAAAAACATAAAAAAGCAGCAAACTAAGCGGCAAAACAAGATAAAAAAAGATGTCAAAAAATTGATAAAAAAACATTAAAAAAACGAGACAATAAATAGTCAAAGACACTCACGAAAAAAATAGAGAAAAAAAGCGTCAAAAAAGGGCGCTAAAAACGAAGACAAACAAAGCGAGAAAAAAGGGCCCAACAATTCGCGCAATTTCCAAAAAATTCTTTTCTCTGAGAATATCTGTGAACGAACTTCCCTATTTAAAATAATAATAATCAAAAATAAATAATCAATTTTAACTTTAGTGCACCTTTAATGTATTGTTACGTTGATCGGTGATTAAAATCGGCGTGGGTAAAACTCAACAATTTATTTCTTAATAACTCAAATTTACACGACTGATTACACAGCTATTACATACTTATGTACAAAATAATTCCGGCGCAACTTGACTGAATTCGTTCATTGGATTCCTCGCTGACTGAATCAACTCAATAATAATCGTTCCCGATTATTTATTATTATTATCTATTTAAAGCCATACATTCCTCTCGATGGATCGCGAACGCCGCTTCGAGATTTTTCTGGACACCGCAATCGACACTTCCGGTAACCGGCTGCAAACTTGGCTTTATGCGAATGTTGCCTCGCCATCGTAACCGATGATCATCTCCGCACATACTAGAAATCTCATAGGCGTCGTACCGGGGCGGCGTATGGGTTTATTTCGTAACAGTATTATGCTTTAATTACCTACACTACGCCACTTCTCGTTCGAGCCAATATGTTACAAAAACGCATGACAATAAGTCTATTTTTTCATTACAACTAAACCTAGACAATGTCGCTGAGATTCTTTCCTAATCACTTCTATGAGACCAAAAAAGAACGCTTAGAATGCGAACGCAGCGAGCATACCCATTAAAAATAATTCGTTGTTGTCCCTGAGAAACTAAATTACATATTTACAAAAAATGTATTTATCGTCTACAAAAAGTGAATTTTAAAAACAAACATTGCGATTACTAAAGATGAAGAGACTTGAACTTGCTCGCTGTGCTCGTCTTCTAAGGGTGTGTTTTTTAAATGAAGAGATTTTTTATTATTGAACCCAAACCACTTAGTTACGATTCTTTCTTGAACGCTTCGGAGAATATACTTTAAAAAAAGAACGTTTAAAAGGCGAGCACAGCGAGCACGTTCAGGTCTCATTGAAAAATTGGTCTAAAGTTATAAAATAGATTGGCTCATTCATTTTTAAATCACCCCGTATAAGTAATTATAAAAACTATGAACTGATAAACCACAAAATTTTGAGATTATGTCATCAAATTTTTGGGAGGAAATAAATGGATACATTTTTATTAACGATTTATCATGTTTATGATAACCGTTTACGAAATTTCAGAGTACATATTCCGTTTTGCAGTTTTAAAGTGAAATTGCTTTCAGTTTTGATTTTTTTTTTTCCAAAAATCTGGATGTCTCGAACTTACGCTCGGGAAATAAAATCTATTTAATTGTAACCTCATAACTAATTTTCTAATCAATGGTGTATGACCTTACCTTAAAATCAATACATATTATCCAAATAAAAAAACACGTACTTCAGATAAGGAAATCCAAAATGCAAACATTTACGGGAACTGTACCGCATAAATTAGATAATTGATTGTAAATAACTGAATCCATTATCAGAATAAATTGCAAAATATTTAACCAACTTGGATGAACAAACATTTATAATCACTCTGTATAAGGAAAACAACTTTTATTATCGGCAGTAATTAATAACACGTTTTTGCAATTTCAAGTAGCATAAAACACGAGCAGTTATAAAACTTCGTAACTTTTCTTTTTTACGATTTTGGTAAGGAACTACAATTTTTGCTGGATAATCGCTGTAGTATCAAAGATATTTAAGTATTTAAATTAAACTCAAATATATTAAAACTAATTAATTGCTGCATGAGACATAAGCCAGTCTTTTATATTGTAATACAATAAGAGAACAGTTATATAACAATATAGCATTACGATATTTCGTTAAGTTGTGTTAGGATAGCAGATTTATAGCGCTAGTAGATCAAAATTTCATAGTTGTAGTGTTACAATGGTGACGTAAAGCCGGAACTGCAGCCCTGACGTGATATTATTAAATGTTGCACAGTGTTATATCACCTCTCATACTTGTTGTTTACATAATTATAATTACGTTCCCTTTAAACGATTGTCGCCTTTTCTTTGTTAAAGGATCTCTCATTTTCGTTTTAAAAAGGTAACAATAGCCACTAATTTTAATTTTCTTGTAAATCCATAGGCGTGTGCTGGCAATGGGGGCCCATTCAGCGGAATTGTACAACAATTTAGGGCTCTGCTGTTTGTACTCCCAGCAGCTGGACTTAACTCTGGCGTGTTTCCATCGGGCCCTCGACCTAGCCATCGATCCTCTCATCAAAGCCGATGTGTGGTATAATTTGTCCCATTTGGCTTTAGTAAGCTGAAATACTATGATAGTTTTAAAGTGGTAATATTGTAATTTGTAGGCAGCCGGTGATTTGGAGCTGGCTCTGCAATGTCTCAACTTATGTTTATCCTCCGATTCAACGCACGCTTCTGCGTTCAATAATTTAGCAGTTTTGCATCACAAGATGGGCAGAACAAATCTAGCAAAAGCCTATTTTACGTCCGCTAAAGGCTTAGAACCAAATTTATACGAGCCAGGGGTTAATTTGGAATTCTTACAAAACCCTTGAATTATTCACACTGTTACATTGTTTTCTATTAAATATAATGCGGTTGAGCTTGTTTATATATTTTTGCATATTTATGAACCTCGGCTAGGTGGTAACTCACTGCGGGCGTACAAGGAGAAGAAATTAATTGCGTAGGCTCTGTTAAAGGTAATTAATAAATCGTCATTTAAACGTTAGCTTTTAGATAAATTTCAATTATAACAGAAATACACGTTTGTGAGGTGGCATTTCGATTTGAAATTTATTGTCGAATGCGAGACTTGATTGTGTTGAGCGTTTATCGTCATTTAAACGACGATAAATAACAATATTAAAACGGAACTTGGAATATGTGAAATCGAGTAACTAAGGCAAGTCCGTGACGACGCCGCTGGAATTTATAAATAAGAAAATAAATTGTAAATTAATAATCTGGTGGAATTCAAATAAGTCGTAATTAGGGAGTAAACATATGATAATTAGCAACTTGGCGCCGTTGGATTTATTGGGTACGGATGTGCGTAAGAGTGTAAGCGAAATTATGTTACTCGTAATTTGTACAATCTGCCATAAAGTAAAAGTATGTAAAGGTAGGTAAAACGATCGTTACTCCAGTCTAGAATACGAAAAATAAACACTAGTTATTTGCACCGAACTTCCCTCGCCTCGTAACCGCAAACTTTATGTTTAGATGAAAAAAAAAACATTAAAAGATGCAGAATGTAAATATACAGAGATGAGTGTTTAATAAATATGTAACATTTCTATACAGACCTTGTAAGTAGATTTCTTCCTAAAGATGTTTTAAAACATTTGAAAATAGGTAATAATAATGAAATTAATAAAATAAAATTATCACTATTTTCATAAATTGGCTGGAAACACGTAGTAACATCGTACTCTGAAAAACTAAATAAGACTATTGCAACTGTTTTATATTTCATAAAATGCACAAATTATAACTTAATTTATTAAGTTTCTTTGTGTAAATTGGGTTCCTATTTAACTGAACTTTGATATATTTTTATGCATAAATTATTCATATCGTCTAAGCCTCAGCAAATATCCCAATTTGTAATAAAATACCAACATAAAATATTAAAAAATTCATAATTATTTGGCTTAAGTTACATACATATTTAATAATAAATTCCCCAGTAATTTATAGCCGAGTTTTACTTAAAATTAGGTTGGACACCTTGGGAAATATTCTTCTCGACCTTCACTTGTAATCTCGACCTTATATTATGCAAGAGTTATTCTATGCGTTTTTTATTATCGATGCATTCAAGTATTAATAGATGTTTAGAAAAAAAAACGAGGTTGTCTGTAAAGTCGGTTTACTGACGATAGTTGAACGTGACAACGTCTTAAGAAAATACTGATGGAATGGTTTTGGGCTTTTGATTTTGAAGCAGCGATTATTGGCTGCGCGAATGGCGTTGCTAAAGTAAATGCTACAGCATCTTGAACCTCCATGGGTTCACTCATTGAAGGTAAAGGCTTATTCGTAACATCCTCTGGTTTGTCAGGCTTTTTTTCCATGGTGCGTTTGTAAGCAGTTCTGCAAAATAAATCGTCGTTCGAAACAATTTAAATAAAATTCTTAAAATATTATCGTTGTCACGTCAAAATTGACACTACATTCACTTTTCACTGCACTTGATACTCGACCAAAACATGTAAATGTACTATAATATAGCAGCTGTCCACGCAGACGCATCGCTCACTCAAGTAGGAGAGAGACGGATGGCGAACGCTGCCGAACGCGAAGGCCGATTGTGCCTCTTTGTCGCTCGTTCCGCGTTCTCGCTTGCACTTCAAGCCTTACATGGAACGTGACAGCAACGGTATGAGTCATGCTTTTTCGAGCGTGCAGCCGGCTCCATCGATTTATAAGACGTTGTCACGTCAAAAGTATAATGACGAACTTAACACTTATTTAAAAATTGGTCGAAGGTTATTTCGACAAAACTTCCTCGCCCCTGAAAAACAGGTATTTAATTGACAAATCACTCAGAGTAATAAGAGAAGGCGGTGAAATTTCATTTGACAACTGACACAAAAGGCATGTTTATTCTTACAACATCCATCTGACAGGAACTTAACCTTACATTTTAAAACCAACACTTTCTGTCACATATCCAACCATTGCAATTCTATGACTGCAATGGTAGACGAATGTGTAAAAAAAATTTACACTTTAAAACAAACCACTGCAATGGTTGGATGTATCACATAAACTGTTTGTTTTAAAATGTAATGTTGTGTTTTTGCAATTTTTAAAAAATTGGTTTGTACACGAATTGATTCGATTTTTTTTATCATAATTGTGATGAGTGGAAAATAAACATTTTTACATTTAATTGTAAAATTAATTTTTGAATGGTTGGTATAGTTGGTTTCAGTTTGGTTGTTCTATTTGGTAAGTAAATAAAGGTCAACGTCAACCCTGGAAGCCGTTAGAAACATTTTGTTTCTTCTTTTGTTTAAAGTTTGTTTCATTTTTTTATTTGTTAATTTTAGAACTATTGTTAATTTTTGAGACTTCGTTTTTTCAATAAAATGATTTATTAGATATATGAATTGCTTAAAGTTATTTATCGTACTCTGGATTGAATCGATTTGTTTAAATCGACTTTTTTCCGGTTAATCCATTCGGAAAATCATCAAAATGTAAACGAATCGGTTCCGGGAAATCAACCTTCTGTGTAGATTTTGAGCACCATTACTTTGTGCTAAATGAAAAGCAAAAGCCTACTCTGAGTGATTTTCAGTTGAACACCCGTTATAACAAAACATATCCAGTGTTTTGTAAAAATTATAAAATTTGATTTTGCGAATTTAATTTTTGTGTAAGAACATCTACAAGTTAATATAAAGGTAAATATGTACTGTTAGTCAATTTTAAATAAATTATCCCTTTTCAAAATTTTGTAATGACGTCATCGACATTTTTGCAAGGACACATCACTACATCAGACATCAGTTTGGATAGGTGCAATATACTTAATACTAATGATTACAGTATTATTATTTTGTTATTTCGATAAAATAAATTGATTCCTTAATGAATTTTTATGAGTCAGCCTGTATAAGCAATTCAAAAACTTTTAGTGCTATGAAAAATCAAAAATATAACAGTTTGGACAGGATTCATTCGGCAAAGTTTTGACATGACGTCATCAGATTTTAGGGGATAGACAAAATTATTTTGATTAAAATTTACCATGATTAGGATAACTTTAAAACGTCTGCAAGATACCAAAGCATTCGTTTTTGCATGTTCTGATTAAATCAATAAAATAACTTGACTGATTCATTTTTTTTTGAGTCACCCTATAATAAATAATAAAAACTATGAGTGCGTTGATAAACTACAAGAGTCATGATATTGACTATATTTCAGTTTTTTGCGAGGGAGAAAACGAATAAATTGAAAAATATCACTTAATATTATTATTGTGCGTTTTTCTTTAATTCAGTTCGCCTGGTATGAATGAAGAAACTTGACAAACTTGTGTGGAAGAAGTTACTTTTTACGGCAACTCTTTTCCGACAGAAAAGCCGATAATGGTTTTCCTACGATTTATAGAGTTTTATAAGTTAAAAGCAGTAGTGAAAACCGCGTTCCAAAATTTCCATAAAAAATGGAGATTTCATCAATACTTTAGGAAGAAGATGATAAACTTCCCTTGCGTTGTATTATAGAGGTACCTATATATGTATAACCTAAAGATACACTCCTATTGCCTTTTTTTCTAATGGTCATTTTTTTCAACCAGTGTCTAGTCCAGATGTGCTATTGAGTGTTTTGGTATTGCGTTAAGCTGCAAATTATTGGATGTATGAGTGTATGACCAAAGTTAAAAAGTACAAACCAAATATACGCAAAAGACGTCATCCTTCTATGCCGGATCTCATCCCATTATAAAAAATAAACAATGAATGAACAGCCCAAACGTTTTCAGTTCCAACGCCGAAATCATCTCGTGAGTGCAGCGTAGCATAAAGTACGCTTCGCAGACCTCCGTCAAATTTGGTGCAGACAAAAACAATTTAGAAACAGGTGCAGAGCTCGGTAACGAATAAAAGTACAAAATAAAAGTCATTATTGTTTACACTCAAAAGTTGTTTTCAATTTGGTATTGTATTGTGGTATGCGGCCTTGAGTAGTCAAAAGCCGAAGGAATTCTGGGAACACTAATTCGATCACAAAAATAATATTGCAATAATAATAATTCTGCATGATAGTGAATGCGATACGGGAAGTGCGAGTAATGCTGGAAATATTTGATAAACATTGCAAAATTAGTTTTTGCAATGTTTTGATAAGATTGCTATTCGCGTTAAATGTTAAAAATTACATGTCGCTATTTGCTCAATCTTCCTATCACCGTATTTGTTTTGGAGATCATTCAAGGACGAGATTTAACGAGCGTGAATTGGGGAATTGAGAGGGGTTTTGATGAATCTGAGGACGAAACAGAATGTAATAACTATTATTGAAGCAACAAAACTAAATTAGCTCACTGAGTTACCATGAATTATGGTTATGTAATTTGTTTGACAATAAAAATCTTTGCTAAGGAAGTTCTATTTAAAATGTGCAACATACATTTAATGATTATTATGGAACGATTATAATTTAAATTATGTGTGATTAATTAATACAATTATATTTATTGGCTTCAAATATAACTTTCGCATAGTTTCATAAATATGATTTTTTCGGATTGTAATTATAACTCTGAAACAATTACTCAAAAACTAATTAAATAATATTACTTGTTACTAAAAAAGTAATTCGATTAGAGTACAGCATTACTTGTAATTACCTTCCAATCACTTCTTTCAGGTACCGATAACCAGTTTATCCTGATAAAAAGTTTTAATGTCATAAGTATGTATGCTTGTATAAATAAAAAAGAACGTGCCTATAGATATATAAATTTAAACAATCAGTATTTTAGTAGAATAAATTGAATATTTACTGATTTATCGGCAGCAATAAGTATTATTATTCATAAACTACCGATTCAATGTAAAGTAAAATACATCCCTATAGTTCAGTCTC